TTCTCGTTTCCCCCACACTGCTTTCTCCCTGGCGCTCGCTCAGTAAATGAGAAACAGGGAGGCAGAGATGGCGAAGTTACGTGTGCGGGGTAGTTAAACAGTCACACACACACACACACACACACATAAATCCTTACAGAAACACACACACACACACACTCACAGATGTGCTCACAAACATAAATAAATGTGTAAATACACACATCCATGAGCATACATGCACAGCCAAACATCATAAACAGCACATTACACTTTGATTGAAAGACAAGCATGTGTGCTGCCATATATTTGTTGCGCCTCTAAAATTACACACACACATTTGCATGCACGCACACGTGCACACAGACTGCCGTTTTAATGAGAGTGTTAATTTTACAGATAGTGCCTCTAGGTGAAATAATTGCCAATGTTGGGCCCTGATGGCTGGTCCAAGTGTTCTCAGGCCAGTTGTCTTTATGGGCCATGGCGGGCCGCAAACACACCCCTCGTCTCCCTCACTGCCGCGTTAACTGCTGCTCAGCTGCAGCCGACACACACATGAGAGGAAGACATTGGCTTAATATGCATAAACACACAATGTAGACAGCAACTTACGCATTAACAGTTAACACACACATACACACACGGCGAGGCAGAGGCCAGCAGAGAACAATAGTGCCGTCTGACAATGGGGCTCGGAGGGATTCTCTCCTCCATATTAATATTCAGCGGAGTGGATATAGAGAGAGTGTGTGTCAGCAGGGACGCATGCTCATCAACCTCGCTAACACTGGGGTTAGACAGCCACATGATTACAAAGTACTCAGACTTTGGTCCCCAGCCTCATAACTATTAATCCCTAGCTCCTACTCCCTCACTTCCTATCTCCTTGTTCCCTACACGGCATGGAGCAAGCTCGCTGCCAAGTATCACAGCTGTCACTTTTCTTTGCTTTCCATTTTCCAAATCATTCTGAACAGCCTGATGGGCAAAGGGTGAATCGAAATGGAGATTTGATATTGTCAATTTCCCGCTGCCACCCACTTTAATGTTTCAAATGTGTGAAAGTGCAGCTAGAAGGTCATCTGGAGGATAATTTGGAAAAAAATAGATTGAATTTTTCCTGGTACTTTTTGATGCAAACGGCAAAACAGCCAATGATGCTTTTACTCTAACCAGAGGCGTTGTAGTCCTTTGTGTCATGCCCATAATCTCCTCTTGTTGTACCTCATGTCAAAGCTAAGATGTATGCAAGGAAACACACCTGTAGTTCCAGATATTACTCTCCATGTTTCACATCCATCAGTAAATTGTGAGTAAAGGTGACCTCTAACACATACCATTTACCACTTTTCTGTATATGCATCACCTCCATCTGCAGAGCAAGAATTGCTTAAAGCACATCTGTACAGTTTCCTGAAACAGATGTGTTGCATACAAATTGTCCCATGTCAGGAATAGTTTTATTGGAGCCTTAAGTAGCCCTGAGCTCAATGCAGATATGTTTCTATATTTGTAGATGTTTATGTAGTTGTTTTATCTTCAGCCTTCTCTACTGTTCCACACAGCAAAGAAAATATATGCTAATATGTGATTGTTGCAGAAAGCAAAGAGGAAAACAAAACAGTGAGAGCATTTGGACTGCACAGAGCCACAGTGAAAGTCACATACTGCTGCGTGCCTGTAGGCTACACAGTTGTCATTGACTGGCTCACAAGAGCAGAGTGATTTCTGTCCCCCTGAGGAATGAGACGTTCTCTGTGCTCTCTGTTGTGCAGAAACAACAAGTACAACAGAAAAGACGCACAGTGAAGACTCAGTCAGGGATGTTTTTGACCTCAACACTAAATGCGTAAGCTGCCCAATTTATGCGAGCTGCTCTCTTTATTACTGCCTCTGCTCCTCACTACTGGCGTGAGAATTATCACAAAAGAGAAAGAAATTAGAAAAACAAATATGATGGAAATGTTTTGTAGAAAGACAATAACACATTTGTCAAAGTGAGAGGCTGATGTATTTGACTCATTACTGAACACCTCTAATTTAGTTGGAATTGCTTGTTATGCCCGACCAATGCCACAAAATACATTGTATTATAAAAGACAAAGAAAATAAAAAAATACAATTGTTTATGAAGCTGGAACCAAAACACTTTTGCCATTAAAGTTTAAAAAAAGAATGCTATAAATCATTAAATAATTATCAAAGTTGTTGCCAATTATTTTTCTGTAAATGTATTTGCCAATCGTTTTATCGATCAGACGTTTTAGTTCCAATGTATTCTCATCTATTCTCCATACACCACATACCAATACAATGTTTTTTTAAAATAAATTGTATAGTGTGATATTAGCTAGCTAATTAATGTTTCACACTGGAATAAGAAGTCAAGAGTTATTTTCTATGATGTCTGAATTTGAATGAGTGTGCTGCCTAGACACTTGATTGTGTCAGACTTTAGAGATTATTAGCATAAAAGCCATGGGGACAATAGAATAAAAGGAAATAAACTCAAAGAGCACTTATAAGTCTTTTTTGATCGAGTGGGAAAGAAAACTGATTCTGTGTTAAGGTGTATCCACTCGACCTTAAACATTGTGTAATCACTTTCTTGTAGGTTAATATTCCCAAGTTGCATAAACGTTGGCAATTAATAAGGGAGATATCTGCTATGAAACGTGTTACCATTTATTCAACAATGTACTGAAACACACTTATGATAAACAGAAATCAGTGTGTTTTCTTTCCCTCATTTAACCTTAAACTCTGACAAACGTCTTTTTCAGACACATCCCTCTCCTAAATGATTAGTGTCACTCCCCGCTCTGATACTTGCTCCCTAATGCTTCCTATTTCCTCAGCCTCCTCTTCCCCACCACACTCCCCACCACAAGTCTTCTGAAAATCCATCACAAAAGGTTTTAAGGACAGCCTCGACATTATACAGATAGAGCTTCACGTAGTGATGTCTAATGGGCAATGGCAGTGAGCTGTGGAAATGCTGCTGATGCTCAATTTTCTCTTCTTGGCCAATGCAGGCAGACATTTTGCCTGCGGTAGGCTGAGATTAGTGCACGCAGTGTACGGGTAGTTTTGGACCAAACAGTGCAGCCAATTAAGGGGACTTGTTTTAAAACGACAGTTACCGTGATTAAAGGTGACATCTGCTTTTAATACATGACTGATGACATCCAATTAAAAGTCTTCATTTGATTTATGATTTAACTTCAAAGCCACTTAAGCCTTTCCCTCCAAAATACTAACATGAGAGGATTTTGAAGTATTAGACATCAATCAATGAATCACAAAGAGATGGAATAAAAAGGGTATAGCATTTAATAATGTTAAAAAAACCTGACACATAAAGCTCTGCATACAACTTGACTGTCCTTGAACAGACCATTATCTAATTTCTCCTTAAATGCCAATCACAAAGTCGATGCATTTAGCAAACAATGTCTACTTAGCATTCTCTCCCATAGCGAGCTGTTTTCATTAGGCATGTTAGCTGCACCCTGCACATATAAATCAGTTTACTATGCCACAAACTAGAAACCAGCCTGGAGCTGTTTTATAAAAAGGACAATTTATCTCACCACACTCTGCCCAATTTCATCCCACACCAACCACCTGACTACCCCACTAAACTGCACAACTAATTAGACAAATTCCTTTCCATTTGTGGAACCAGTTAAAACACCAAATCTAAAATAGATACACACACAGTCCCCATAGTCTAGATTAAGATGTATGGTGCACAATTTAGAGTTGCTTTTTAAAACCCTTCAAGGATATATACACACACAGGCTGTTGAACTTGACAGCTGCAGGATGTGTCCTTTGAAAATGGAAAATGAGGACGCCATATTTGTCTCTATTTGTGTTTAAGCAAACCACATGATAATTTCCCAGTTGGCTATGTAGTCTACTTACTCTGGGATGAAGTGAACAGGCGAATGTGAGCAGCGGAGCAGTTAATGGCCTTGATGAATCTGTCTCTGTACACTCAGTATGCCTGATGAAAACCTTATATTTCTAAAGCCAGTGTTCACTGGGGGGTTGGATTCTGCACACAAGATACAGGCACTTAACGCGTGATGGTTAATGAAAGCTCAAAAGCTTTGTTTGAAGAAAAAAAAAACGCAGCTATAACACATTGAGTTTCCTTAATGGGAGGTTTGTGTCCGTTGGGAGCTGCGTCTTACGCATATGCAGCGCTGACCTTCAGGAAGTATTTTCATGAGGTACTTAATTTTAAGAGGTATAACTGTTCTGATGGGGATCATTATTTAGCCTGTACGTTTTAGTATTTTATATTGTGCCAACGTTGAAATCCAAAAGTACATCTTGCTGTTGCTTAAAGAAGTTTGCTGAAATAAAAAATAAAGGTTGGAAAGCTTTTTATCTATGCTGCTCCATTAAAGCATCTTTAGCAATACAAATGTAGGAACTAGGGGTGTAACGGTTCACAAACATTTCGGTTCGGTACGTACCTCGGTTTTTAGGTCACGGTTTGGTACGTTTTCGGGACGGCAGAAAAAATTATCACAAAACATGTAATATATATATTTTTTTTAAATTATTATTAAACTGTGAATAATGTATTCACTCAAATAAATACAAAATATAAAACAAACATTAAGGTGCAGCATTTCGATGAACTGAAATAATCTGTATTTGAACGTTACTGTAGGGCTACTAGGAACACATAAGCTGCTGTGCCATACTTTGAATATTTGTTTGATTAAGTTTACAAGTTAAAGAGACATATATAGAATACATGTATAGAATTACAAAACTATTTAGGGATTAGAAAATACACATTTAATGTTGTTCTACTCACCCACTCAAATGTGGGCTCACTTAATATTATTAACTGGTTAAAGGGCTTAAAAGTGTCAGCCTTGTGTGCAATTTGGTTTTGTGAATGATGTGTTCCAAACAGCTCTTCGCGTGAGGTTTAGCAAGGATTTTACACTTTCAAAATGTCTAATACTGTTCTTGTCTGCTGTCTCTCTCAGGGCGCTGTTCACTGACACTCTGCCAGCTGTCCTGCTGAAGCACCACCAGTGAAGTCTTCCTCCAGGATACTCGACATCGCTCTATTTCTTCTAACCTGTGGGGGAACTTTTCACACTGAGCCACGTGACTGGCCTTCCCAGCGCTGCTCAGAGTGCACTACAGTACACACGGTCATCGTGCTTTGCTGCCTCTAAAGATCAGCTGTGTGAACTGAAAAGGAAGCGATTAAAATTTAACAGAGGAGAGTGAGGCGGAAACTGAGAGGGAAGAAGAAAGGAGCCTCTGAACCAAACTGTCACAACCTGTAATCTGCACAGGACCAAACTGTCCATCACAGCCTCAAACATACTCCATTTACCATGAAAGAACTGTGAAATGTAGGTTTTTAATAATTGTTATAATACGACTAATAATCGTAAGGACTCTTAGCTGGATATCTTAGAGCTGTGAAAATCCCACTTATTCTGTCCTTGCTCCTCATTCATTATAACCACTAACTAGTTATTCAAAGCCAGTATAACTGTACTATTCCTGCATGACCCACTGCTTGCATGAGTATCCAGGATTGCTTTTGACTTCGAAGAAGGACCCTTAAGCTCTCAACCATCTTCTGACTGTCGACCCAACTGTAACATTTGGGTGTGGAGCAGTGGCTTCAGAATAAGGCCTCTGGACGCTTGTTGAAGATGACTTGAGCTGGCAGGCCTAAAAGCCCCTTACCCCAGAGAGAGAGAGGAAGAGAGAGAGAGCTTGGCAGTAGGACACACACGACAAAAATGTGGGTGCCGAGGCGGCTTTGAGCCATGCTGGTGTTGCAACTTGCGGAGCCCTGGAGTACAGGCTATCATCATCCCTATCATCATTCACCCAAGCTGAGGAAGATTCAACGGCCCCGAGGAGCGAGGCTACACTTGTGAACCATTCAAAGACAACTTCTTTAACACACAGAAATCCACGGTTACATCTTCAGTCACACACAAAGACACAATAATACTTCTCTTCACAAATCCTTTGATACAGGAAAAACACAGCTGCAGCGGACGCAAAAAGCACAGAGACTGACCAGGTTAGACCAATCACACCCTCGGTCGATCAGACCTTTCTCACACACACACACACACACACACACACACACACACACACACACACACACACACACACACACACACACACACACACACACACACACACACCACACACACACACACACACACACACACACACACACACCCACCACACACACACACACACACACACACACACACACCACACACACACACACACACACACACACACACACACACACACACCACACACACACACACACACACACACACACACACACACACACACACACCACACACACACACACACACCGCACCACCACCACACATACATGTTACTTTCGGCTACGTGATCAGAAAGAACACCAACACACAATGGCTCTGTGCTTGCACAAAGGCTTTTATTTCTGAACATGATTGAAATGTTCAGGGTGGGGGGGCTGCAAAGTGAGAGGTAGGCGAATGCGGAGGCGAGAAAGCTGAGGCCAAGAGGGAGTGAGAAAGAGAAGGTGGGGAAAAACAAGAGGTGGGGGGTCTGCTGCATCTAAATGAAATAGAAACTAAGTCGCCATGAGGGAGAGTGGAAGTCTGGGCAGGAGGACTGAGCTAGAGCTGATTGATCCAATCTCAGTGTGTATCAACGGAGGACTGGAGAGGAAACGATGAAAGAGGATTAGAAAGAGAGATAGGGGAGGAGAGTAGGAGGGCGACTGCACGGACACTTCTGCAAACAAACCTGAGAGTGGTTATAATGAAAGATTACGAAGGGGAGAAAGTGGAGGTGGGCGGATTGGAGAGGTATATGGCGTGAAAAATAAAGATGCAGAGAGAGGAGAGCGCCATAAGGGAGAGCGACAGTTGGAGAGAGTGAGAGGACGAGGCAGGGAGGCGAGAAGACAGAAAATATAAGGATCATTAAGAGGATGTGTCGATAGAAAACCTTGGCATGTACTTTAGGCAAAAACACACAAACAGGTTTGTGCCAAGCCGTATTTATGAAAGGGAAGCGGGGATAGTGTGGCTACGAAACATATGCTAGTTGATATTCATAGAGCATTCCCAATACGGTTTCAGCTCCTACCTTGACACTCCTTTTTGTGTGCATGTGTTCCTCTCCCTTACTTTCTCTGTATCTCAAATGCTGGAAAGGCTGGGAAATAGTCAGATGTAAGCTTAAAATACCAATTAGGAAAAGAGAAAAATAGAGTCTAGGTTGATGCCAAATTGTACGGCTCACACACATGAAATCACATTCTGCTTGTGTCGAGGTGAGACAGGAGCTGGTTGTTGTTGATCTAACAAGCATAGATAGGTACACAAATGCAGCTATTTTATGCACCAATTTCTCCCAGAAAAAGAGCACGCAATCATTCTTTTGCACCAAACTCAGCTGATACTGTCTTGAGTCTTCACTGCCAGAAAACTCATTTCCCCTCTCCTCCACTGACTGTCCAACTCTCCATCTGTCTCCTCCCTCCCTCCCTCCCTCCCTTCCTTCCGTCTATTCTATTGTTGCCATCTCTTGTTTGCTTTGCATGGATTTTGACTGCAGCCAAGGGGCAATTTTGCATCTAGCACTGAGTTCACATTCGAACACACGCACATACACAAGCATGTATGCACAGAAGGGTGGGGAGGGGAAAAAAACTTGCCTTTAGAGGATTTGTTTATCAAATGTGCTGTCAAATCATGTCAGGCATTTCACGTCAGAGTAGATTTTTTTGCCCCAGGCTACCCAAAAGATAGCATTCAAACAAGAGTTCATGTAATTTCTACAATTTTCACTACTGTATATTATTCATATACTATAAACAGTGCGCTGTGGATGCCGAGTGCACTGCCATCATTTTATCTGAATTGTAAATGTATGTTATTGATGTTGGTGTCAGGGAATCGCTAGGAGACATTTCATAAAACATAGACTGAGGAACGTATTAATGTTGCAGAAAAATGCTTCTCTGTCAAATATCTCGCTAAAACATTTCTTGGGATTTCTAGACCACTTTCCTGAATCATTTATATACATTTCACGAACAATAACAACCAAGAGAAAGCATGCATTATACATACATATAGTGCAGTTACAGCAAGTTTACTACTTCTGGTGTCTTCAAAAGAAATCAACAGCACTGTGGGCAATTAATCTGATTTCCTTTTCCTCGACTCTCTTCTCCATTTTAGTTTCATGTCACTCACTCCATTTCAGTTAATCGGCCCGAAAAATTTCTTCCACTCTTTATTTTCGCCATCAAACTGTCACTGCCCAATTTTCTCCATCTTTGTCATCATTCTATTGCTTTCTCTGATTCTTGTAATCTTCTTTGCCCGCTCACTCAACCCTTCATCGCACTCTCCGCCTCTAAATGTCCGTTTGTCTTCTGCTTGGTCGCTCTGACCCATATAATACTGAACAACCCCTACAAACTATCTCCGTCTTTTCTATCCCCAAATCTTCTCCGCCTTTAGATAAAAGAACATTACTTTATACAGTAGGTAGAAAGTACAGCACTTTGTGGTTTGACTTTTTCATAAACCTCTTTTTACTTCAGTTAACTGCAAAAAGTGTATTTGATTTGAGACTCAGTTACAGCAGTGGTACTTAAATCAAGTTTCCCATTTTCTCTCTTTTCAATCAGGAGCTGAGCACAACATGGCGGCTGAGAGTCTTGCTGAGCTCCGCGACTGGCTCTTTCTGCTCCTCCTGTGCCTCACCTTATTGGCTGAGGTGCTGGAACTGGCGGCAGCAGCAATTGCCATGGAAACGGGCGAAGGAGATGAGGGCATTGTGTGTCCCTCTGTGTGCCGCTGTGATGAGGGTTTTGTCTACTGCAACGACCGTGGCCTGAGTATAATTCCTCCCCTACCATTAATGGCTGCCATCCTCTACTTACAGAGCAACCGGGTGAAAAACTCCGGCCTGCCTCCCTCACTGGAACGCAGCACTTCCATACGAGTAATTTACCTGTATGCTAACCATCTGGATGAATTCCCTATACACCTCCCGCCTTCGTTACGGGAGCTCCATCTGCAGGATAATAATATACGAACGTTACCGAGATCAGCTCTGACAAAGTTACCATTACTAGAACGTTTGCACCTGGATGATAACTCTATATCCACAGTTAGCATCCAGGAGCGAGCTTTTTCTGGGACTCCACGGCTTCGACTGCTGTTCCTTTCTCGAAACCACCTGTCAAGCATCCCTGCAGGCATGCCAGCATCCTTGGAAGAGTTGCGACTTGACGACAACAGAATAAGCACCATCCCAACACATGCCTTCCGTGGGCTCTCCTCCCTTCGACGCTTGGTTCTGGATGGGAACCTGTTGGCCAACACGCGAATTGCAGATGACACCTTTTCCCGTCTCTCCAACCTGACTGAGCTGTCACTGGTCAGGAATGCTTTGCAGTCGCCGCCAGTCTACCTTCCTTCGTCTCACCTTGTGCGCCTCCATTTGCAAGACAATGGGATGACTCACATACCACGGGGGGCCCTGGACGGCATGCGGCGGCTTCAGAGGTTGGACCTGTCGGGAAACAATCTGACCACTCTTCCACGAGGGCTTCTGAAGGACACAGAAAGCCTGGAGCTGCTACTGCTGCGAGGAAACCCGTGGTACTGCGGCTGCAACCTTCGCTGGCTCCACGCATGGCTGCACAGCCGGGGGGCTGCGGTGACAGTCAGGGGTCTGACCTGTCAGGGCCCAGAGTCTGTGAGGGGCCAAGCCCTCAGAGAACTAGCCTCCCTGATGGAGCAGTGTGAAGGCCCTCCTGGTGGTCCCGGTACTGGAATGGGGATGAACCCAGCAGAAAAAGATGGAGGAGGTGAAGATGACATTGGAGGGGGCCAAGCTGTGGCTTCGGTTCCCCATGGCAGCAGCACCACATCTCCTCTGATGGTCCCCACTCAAGGATCCCTCTTCACCCTTATCGCCAAGCGGCCGGGCTTTGTTATACCTCTGCCTCCCGGTGAAGGGGGGCAGGTCTCTGGAGAGGCCCTGGAGCTGACTGTAAAACCTCTTTCTCCGGACAGTGTGCTGGTGAGTTGGCTTTGCCCCGAACCGGCACCCTCCTTTCGTCTGTCGTGGCTGAGGTTGGGAAGCACTGCATCTCTTGGTTCCATAACAGAGACTCTAGTACCTGGAGAGAGGAGGCAGTACTTCCTTACCCAGCTTACCCCACGCTCCCATTACCTCATCTGTTTGCTGCCACTAAGACAGGAATCCTCTTTTGGGGGTTCCAGCATGGGTTCATCTCGAATTGGCAGCATGGACACAGACAGTAAAGACTCGATCCCGACCTGCGCTCAGATAGAGACTGGAGAGGCTCAGGTCAGCGCAGGAGGGGAGGGGTCTGATAAAGACGGTAAGGACTCAGAACTAACAGCCCTGCCATTGGCTGGGATCATAGGTGGTGCCACAGCATTAGTAAGCCTGCTGTTAATCTTTGGCATATTCTGCTGGTATGGACAGAGATCAGGCTATGTGTCCGGGGACTCAGGTACATATGGCAGGGGCCGGGGTGGAAAACATTATGATGACTATGTTGAGTCGGGCACCAAGAAAGACACTTCCATCTTAGAGATCAGGGCACCTCCTGCAGGGTTTCAGATGACAGCTATGGCCCATCAGCCCCTGCAGCCTAAGCTGGAGGACGTCACCTACATCCACACTATTTTTCCCTCTTCTTCCTCTTCCTCTTCCCAAGCTAACGGGACATACAGGAGCAGCCATGGAGCCGGCAGCCTCAATGGCACCATCCTCAGCCAAACCAGCCACCATCGTGTCACTTATGGTACCAACCGGGGATACCGAGAGGGTGGGATCCCCGACATAGATTATGCCTATACGTGATGATCCACAGAAACACTCCCTGAACCACTAATGCCCGGCGCCATTTCTATGATGACGACCCCTTGGCTGGTGGCCATTTGTCCTTGGATTCCAAAGTACCCTCTGTGCCTCTGATGGTTCAATTCTGATTGGTTTGCTAAGTAGAAAAGACTGATTTTGGCTATGTTGAATTGACATTGTTGTTGAGTGACAGAAGTAACAGTCCTACTATACTCTACTACTGTATACTACTTTATACAGAAAGACTTTCTTTCAGCGCTGATTACAGCTATACATGGTTACGTTTTCTCTTTTGGATATCTCAGTGTCTTTTAAACCTACTGTTCTTCTCGGCTCATTATAATACACAGTAACTTATTTGAGGTTGATATACTAGGCTTAGCTGATTTAGCAGGAGATATATTTATTATATGAGGAAAAGGCACTTGATGTGTATAGAGATAGGTCTCATATCTTCCTACCAACTGTAAGCTCTGTGCTGTATAGATACAAGGGATGACAGAGGGAAAAATCAATGGTTGTTATAACCCACAGATGACAATGCATCATGGTTGACATGAAAAGATGTGTTCCTAGTGTCCCCTTTCCCTCTAGTTTATTCCCCTCCTTTTTAATTTTAACACGTTTCAGCCTCTTTCGCTTTTCTTTTTTTTTTGGCTGTGGCTCTTTCCTTTTATTTCTCTTGTGTCTTTTGTGGTGCCGTGAGCAGAGGACGACTTTGTTCTCGCTAAGGGAGCTGACAGCAGTGATAACAGTTCTGACAGAGACAGGAGACACAAACCACAGAATGGGGAGACTAATGAGAGGGGGAGAGAGAGAGAGCAGGGGTGATGGATATATGGATGGTAATAAAATAAACAAGACAAGGAGAGAGAGGGGTGCTGTTTTGGGAATGGAGGCGCTGAGAGAGGTGTGTTGGCTAAAGGCAGACAGCGAGGACAGAAAATGAGAGACAAAAGGAAGATGAGGAAAAAAGGGCGTGTGACAAATTCAGCGGCAGGAGGTAGAAAAGCAGACAAAAGGAAGAAGTTGGGGGATCAAGAAGGATGCAGGCGGGGGGAAAAGAGGGGTGATCACTGGAATATTGTGTAATCATCATCCAAAATGTTACCCAAGTTTTACCCTCAGTGTATCCACTGCTGAACTCAGCAAATACGTGACTTCACACTTCCATCAAGGACTGATGTTTTCAGTTTCCTGTGATCAAAATTGAAAGAATCAAACTAAATTGTTACAGCAGTTTTCGCCTGTATCTTTATCATGACATGGAACCATTAAGATGCTAATGTTTGTAGGACACAAGGAGAATAAGGAATTAAAGACAATCAGAGAAAAACACAAGTAAAATAATTGCCACGACTGCAGGATAAATGACTAGCTTGAGAAGGACAGCTATTCAAATCTCAGAATTAAGAAAAAGTATGTACCCACGTTCCCAATTTCTATTGTAGTCTGGTCTTATTAAATTACATTTGCAAATGAAGTGTAAGAAACGTAATTATACATCTTAAAATAGTAACCCATTATCATCTTGAGGCTGGTTAAACCTACTTAATTGAAATAAGTTTTAGCAGCTAATGATTTTGTGCGGAATTCTCTTCTCATAACTCTTTGCTAAAAATGTATTCATAACAATCTGTCTTTCCAATTTTAATCTGAAAGTTGAAGTTGTAAATGTTTTATAGATATTTAAAATACAAGTAGGTATACGTGTTGGCAAAATTAATTATCTCAAAGTATGTCTCAGTAAAAAATCCCAATACTACAAAATATATTTAAATTTGCATTCTCTGAGAAAAAGTACATTCGATGACAAATGTCATACAGTTTTACAGGCCAAAGTCCAGCATAGACAGTCATAAACAGGGATCCCAGCCTGACCGCTACACTGTGCAGTTTAACAAACAAACATATGAAGAACACAAACACACCGCATGAAGAAGGACGCAGCACCTGCTCTCCGACTGCCTCTCACTGACTACACTAATATACTTTACTGGAGGAGGAACATCAAAGGACACTAACAAACAGCCAGACATGAAAAGAGAAAAAGGAGAGGGTGGAGAGTGAGAAATAAAGAGCGAGGCCGTAGAGGGAAGGATCCTGATGAGTGATATTCATGTACACAGAACCTCCAACCGATTCTTACTTACAGAAGCTCTCTTTCTCTTTTCCGACCTGGGTTAATGTCGTAACCAGTCGTATAGGACCAGCTCGTGCGGATTTTTTTATTTTAGCTGCATTTATTATTTTCTTTTTTTAAAGAGCATTGAAGCTTCATTTTTTATTCTGTGCAAAAAAATCATTTTTCCTTCTGAAAATGTCACCCTCAGACGTGATAATGAAAACACTCTTATGTATAAACATAAAAATGGATGCAACACGCTATTCCATTTATTGGTCTGTCGTCTTTTTTTCTACAAGGATGAATAAAGACTTCTAAAAAGAAAAAGTAGTTCCTTGTGTTTTCTCTGTGCTGTTTGAGGGGCTGTGCTGTGTGAGTGAGTAAGTGTGTGTGTGGGGGGTTCATTAAATCTGAAACAAAGGCTGACGATGTCAAATAATGCACTGGATGGCTTAAAAAAAATCTAAATCAATGGGATTCTCAAGTTTATTAATACGATTTATGACGAGATGGCATGGACCTCGTTAAATCACACACACTGGATGAATACATCAGCTGCTCCAATTCAATTTGAAAAATTTTGCCAGGCCAAAGCAGACGCATGTGTTTTTATACCGAGAAGTTTGCGTAATAATGTGCACCAGGCAACATGAGAAACTGTATGTACATTTGTATGGATGCATTTCTGCTCTTTGCTCCAGAAGACATGCCTCTCATTCTAAGTGAGTGCTAATACTTGTGTAAGCGTGGATCAATATAACGAACGGGGGAGTGTATAAGTGTCCATCTAAGAGTAACTGCTCATGTTGGGTGCTTGTGAAGGACAGAGTCAGAAGGAAATGTACTTTATGTAGATAGAAATGGGTTCTTTTACTGTCTGTGTCTGAGAGGGAGATAAAAACAGGCTTCATGTGAATGTTTATCTTAAGGATTTTCAAATTATACGTTTGTGTGTGTGCACCAACATATGCTGTGAGTGTGATGCAGCTGTAGCTCCACGCCTGTGCTCTTAACGACAATACCCTGAGTTCTCATCAGTCATTATGGAGGCCTTTCACTGTCGCAGTCCATTATCTAGCGTCAAGCCCTCTAGCTTAATTATTCCAACTCACATTAAACCCGACAAAAAGATGTATGCTAAGACTCGAGCACATATCTGAGCCTGAAATGAATTATTGCACTGCAAGAAAATAGGATCAAAATTGATTTTTCAGATGAGCCTGTATTGTGTTACTCAAATAGTAAACATCTTCAACATATCAAATCAATCTACATTGATGTGCATATGAGCACAACAGTAATGCCTCTATTTAAATGGCTTTTGATTCAGGACATTTCTGAATACTTCCTCCATTATAATACCTCTATTTCTCTAACAAATGAGCTCAAAAAAAGATTCGCAATAAAATGGCCAGTTGCATTTTAAACTACTAGCTCAGTGTTTTCTCCAACACAGGGCTGTTAAGAGTGATGTAAAGCTGCATTGCACGATAAAGTGGCTTCCTTTGTTTGCATGCATTATAAGCTTCTTTAGCAAAAGGTCAACGTGTTCCCATAAATGCCTGCATTTGGTTGAAGGTATGAATGCATGCAAACAACCAGCCAGCTATGCTGAATACGAGAACAGAATAATTTCCACATCATTTATCTTTTCAGATAAAATGTTCCTACAAGTTTGCATCATTCACGGAAGGTGCATTCACAGCAGTTAAGGCCACCAAGAAAATAAACAGATGCAATATACAAATCATGAGTGAGCAAGAAATAGGAATACTATAAACATGTAAGTGCGTGCACAAACAGCAATGCTTAACTATAAACCACTAACCCTAACCATGTCTCTATCCGTCAATCCAGCTCAAGACAAACATGAGCTTTAAGGTGTTGTTGGCGCACACCACACACACACACACACACACACACACACACACACACACACACACACACACACACACACACACACACACACACACACACACACACACACACACACACACACACACACACACACACACACCACACACACACACACACACACACCACACACACACACCACACACACACACACACACACACACACACACACACACACACACACACACACACACACACACACACACACACACACACACACACACACACACACACACACTTCGAGTGCCAGGGGAATAATGGTCCCAATGTAACGCAAAACACTTTATTCTCACCCACTGCAAGAAACCAGTGAAATACCTCAGAGGTATGAACTAATCTAACAACAACAAAAACAACAAAACATTAAGCCTTGGTGGTCTGGATTCCTCTGTAGCAATAGATGGAGACGACATCACTGGAATAAACAAGGCTGAGAACAAAGTAAGACAGACTGTATGAGTTAGGCTGTCTGTCAGAAGAGGAGCCACTTTGGTGCCACTGCAAGACGTTTCAAGTGATGGAAAAAAAAGTATGTCTGCCATAACCATGCTGAGAGCATGTACAAATAGATACATTGCCCTTGTACCACAGTGGTCCTCAATTCAATTTCCAAGCCTTGTGTGTATTTTTTTCTGCTTCATGAGCCCATATACCATTTTATTATTTTCTAACCTGCTTTTAGTATGTAAGAAATCATCTGAAAATGAAGAAAATAAAAACATTTATAACCTCACGCAGGGTCATTCTCTGTCTGTCTGACATTAGGAGAAAAGTTGATGGTCTCTTTTTTCTTTACGATAAACCATCATGCATTCAGTTTGATCTCCTGACTTCACAGGGAAATGTGAGGAGAAACTGTGGCTGAGGAGTGCTTCAGGCTCCTGCTGGATGGGGTCCTCCAGAGCTCTCAGCCTTCACTCACGGTCGGCTCGCTGCCCACCTCTCCGGGGCTCAACACTCTGGACCGACCGAGCACTTGTAGTTATGGCAACTTGTGATTCCTTTGGAGTACTGACTCTCAGACGTTCTTCAGCAGAGAGAGACACATCGCACCAAAAACATAAATGAACCCTAGGAACACAGTGGAAAGTGGATTGTGATCACACTAGAGGTCCATCATTTATTAAATTATCTACAAAGGCTGATCAATTTAATGATAAAACATTTGAAATTAATAAAATATTCTCAAATGAATGGAATCACAACTATTGATCTACCGTAATTTAAAGATAAATATTATGTTACTGCTCTCCATCTTTGTTACAATTAGTTACAACGTCCAGTTTACAGTTTTAAAATTGCTTTTGATGTTCAAAACTTTGATGAAGCAGTTAATTAATTTAATACAAATGCCAGCCTAGAACTTGCTCATCATATAAAACCCTTAAAAAAGCATAACCCTTAATGTTTGATAAATTCTTGAGACCGACCATTTCTCTATAAACACATCCACACTATAATGTGCAAAGATTAACAGCTCATACATGAATGCAGAAAAAGGTCTCGCTCATGCATATGCAGACCACTATCCTGTCACATGCTGTTGATTTTGCAGGAGTCACGGAGTAAAGGGTGCAAGGGTGTAATACATCTTTTCAGTGCTTGTTACTGTGATTGAGGTGTCCTTTTTATCCCACTACATCACAGTGCCCTTGACTTTTTTATAAAAGAGAAATACACCTGCATTTTGCATTCGGTTTACTAGACACACCAGAAAATATCACATTTTTACTTTCAGGGCTGAATATGCTTCATTTGTTAATCATAATTGTGAAAAATAAAGACTCTTTATTGTGCACAGAAAACAGATGTTAACCAATTATAGCTCTATCTATGACAATAAATTGTACTGCACAATATAAGCTGCTGAGTTCTTTCTCTATTCCCTTGACTTCATTCCTCTTTACAGACTGTACAGGATGTTTATGACCATGCCTACGTTGACCTTTTAGCTTGTGGCACTGTAAACGGCACCTACATGTTCTACTTTCAGCAAACAATATACAACGTAAGAACTGTTGGACTGATTGATTGACCTGTCCATCAGTCCGGCTCTAACCACCAACAATGGTGACAAAAGGATGAGTGGATAAACAGTTCCTATAAATAGTCTTGTAATATCCTAAACTGTGATAATGCAGCGGGGCCGACAGCCTGAGCATCGGGCACCACTTCACAACAACGCCTAAAAGATCGCAATTACAAGATGGTAATTGTGCGCTGTGTGTGCTGCGCGTACTCTCTGCGTGACTTGTGTGTGATTATGTGACAAAAGCATCGTCTGCGATGAGGACATGAGAGCAGACAATGGAGAGACAGGAAGAGGACTCAGGGTTAGATCCAGGCCCATTTTGGAGGTTACAATGATACATGCTTTGTACTTGTTCACTAAACTATGATTACAAAGATGACAGAAAATGGAGCCTTATTGAAAGGCTTTATAATAATTATTATTCAAATAGCACTCACTACAATGAGGATAATCTTCTACCAATGTGCTTTTAATTTTCGTATCTTCATTTTTTCTCATTTAGTCTTACGTGGCTCGGTTCTCGTCAACATCCTTTGCACAGCTGGTTCAGTGGAACAGGGTTTGATTCAAAATGTCAAAAGTCTGGATGAGAACAATCAATCATCAAAGGTTGATAAACTCATTAAAAAAGCCATTCATCAGGTTATTGTGGGGCCACTTAGTGTGGTTTTTTTTAAGCAGCTGCTCAAGTATTCGACCACAGCAGCCAAGGAGACGGGGACTTTGGATGCACAGCCAAATACTTAATGCTAGGCTTATTACTAAAAACCAATATTTGGTGCACTATTATTATCATAAAGAACTGGGAATGCAAACGATTATTGCTACACTAAGGAGTGCATTAAGTGAGACGGCATAGAAAATTGAACTCTGCCCTACACAAGGAAAGACATACACGTTTGACAGCTGGCTGCTCTACAAACTGCACATTATTGGCACACTGTCACAACCTCAGAGGACTTACTTTATATACTGTAATATAAATAAGTCTTTTCACATTTATTTTGCCATTTTAAATGTAAAATGAAGCCACTGTCTCATCATCTAAGCCTACACGAATACTTAAAGTTAAAGCAGGTTTAGCTCTTCTACATTATGCTATAATCACTTTGTTTTATTCAAATTCATTGTTTTCAAAGAGCCTCCATAAAATACATTTTGGTTTGACTGTACACCTTTTAAATTGGGGAAAGTTTGACTTTTCTTTTTAACTTGTCCAAAACAGAAGATCTGACAACATGCCCACTTTATGTAACGAATGTCCAGGAGAGTGGAGGAGAAAGTGTAAGGAAAGATTTGTGGCTCTTTTTTCATGTGTCTCACATAGGGTTGCAAAATTCCGGGAATTTTCAAAGATGGAAGCTTTCCATGGGAATTAACG